TCTCCTATCAGTGAAGTTTTCATGTCAGGTAATTTCTCCCACTTTTTTTCCTGATAAGCATAAGAGAATTTTTCTCTCCTTGAATTCCTGAGGAACAAAAAGTCATCATCTGTTTTTCCTGAGATAGGGTGGTATTAACTGCTTCTCTGGAGAATGGAACATTCGGCATACTGTTTCCTTAAGAGTTCTGTCAAGCAAGCAGTTAGGAGGGGTGAATTCTCAGACAGTCTGGCTTCTTGTTCCTCATGGCTGTACAGCCCAGTGAATCTTGGGTATTTTACGTGTATGGAGGCTGGAGGTAGGAGGTTAACAACTAGGCTTTCAATAATAAATAATTTGACATTTTAAAAACTCACAATTTTTAAACTTAAAATTTGATTTAGAATTCAGTTAGTGTTATTAAAAATAAATCTTTCATTGAAGAAGTTTCCCCTTTTCCTCATTTTTTAGTTGTAAAATTTTTCTTCGGCCTTCTCATCTTACACTAACAGTTGCAAGACTTATACGGAATCTTTACAAACCAGATCTATAATATCACAAGGAGCATAAAGTGTCCATTGGCTAAGCACGACAGAAATGTACACATTCTGTATCCCTGAATAAAGGTCAGGAAGAGTCTATACTTGACCTTGGTTAAAGACCAAATACATAGCTTTCTGGCCAGGACCCTCATGAGTGACTGGGCAGTGGTTACAATTGACAGAGAATTAAAAGGAAGTTGGTTCCCCTTCCCATTGTAGCTTGATCGCTCGCACCTTTTTTTCTTTGGTGTAGAGTTCAAAAGTACTCACAAGATGAATCCAGGACCAGTAACACATTTAGGATATATCAGTCACGTGATAATCTGGAGTCAAGTAACTCCTTGGAAGTGGTTTAGCGATTCCCTCCATTGGTCACGGAAGACTGAATGAAGGTAGCAAGGAAAGAAGTTAGGCTCTCGCTCACCAGTCACCTTGGGCTGAGGTGTCCCTAGAACCACAACAGAAAGGAAGAAACAACTTGCCTCCAGCACCAGATGCAAAGAGACCCACTGACTAAGGAAAAGCCCAACAGAAGGAACCAGTGCTGACTCAAAGATGGTAACTGGAGTGTGAGAAAAGGCATGGGGTCATGCTGTAGAGCAAATAACAAAAGGTACGATGAGTTGCCCTGGTCACAGCTGTAGGGTTAGGGGAAGAGAAGAAGGAGCAAGAAGCCAGAGCTCAAGCATTAGCCTGGGTTGCCTGATAAATGAAATCAGGAAGCCAAAGGCATTTATTATACTAGAACAAATCAACCCCACGGAACAAAAAGAGGAAGAGAAGTTCAATGCATGCCCCCACTTGCTGGGGTTATGAGAGACAGTAACTGGCAGGTTGCTGTGACACAGTTATGGGCCTAAAGCCCAGTAAGGTAGATAGATTCAGACCCTGGAGGTGATGCCCAGATAAATGGTGAGAAAGTGTTTTTCATTTCAATTAGAAGAAAGAATACAAAACTGTGGTGTCAAAAGGAGTCTTACAGACCACTGATCTACCACTGTAATTTTTCAAACAAAGTACAGTAAAGCTCAAGAAGAAATGCCTGGCTATGGTTTAATAAAGGTACTCAGTAACAAAACTACTTATTGTACTCATTATTTTTGCCTAGTGCTTTTAAGGAAATTATTGTAGCTAAGCAGGGGAAAGGTATTTCAGTGCTGACTGCATTTACATTTTTCCTTTCTACATTTAATAAATGCCCATTGAATAAGTACCAGGAAATAGGATAGATCCTGGTATTTCCTGGGAAACATCAGGAGATATATGTAGTAGTGGCAGGAAGCTTGAAAAAAGACAAAATACTGAGATTAGTTAACTGAAATTATGAAACACCAAGTACCCATTAAGAGATTAGGAAGAACTTTTGATATTAAAATTGGAACAGAGTGTAAAAATATAATCAGATATGAAAAGAATCATTGGCTAAGAAAAACAAAAGAGGGTGAAGGACAGAAAAGAGAACTTGAGTCATTTACTGAAGCTTTTGGAACTTCTGCAATACAGAAGAAAACGTGGGTCGATCAAGGGCAATGCAGCTTGCAAACAGTCCTCTGTGGGTCACTCTATCTCAACAACAATTAGGGGAAAAAGAAAAGAAATGTACATTTCTATGTACAAACTGTCTTTCTTAGAAACAGCTGACAGTTTTCATTTATCACAAGAGAACATTTGTTCTTTTTTTTTTTTGAGACGGAGTTTCACTGTTGTTACCCAGACTGGAGTGCAATGGCATGATCTCGGCTCACCGCAACCTCCGCCTTCTGGGTTCAAGCAATTCTCCTTCCTCAGCCTCCCGAGTAGCTGGGACTACAGGCGCGCGCCACCATGCCCAGCTAATTTTTGTATTTTTAGTAGAGACGGGGTTTCACCTTACATTTATTCTTATGATAAGGTTTTCTGGAGGCAAAAAATTTAGTGAGCAAACATATCCAGCTATTTCAGGATGTCCAGATTTAAATGAGTTTGAGAAAAGGTGTGAGTGACAACTGGGAACCTGAGAAAAATAAAAGCAGCTGTGGCAAAAAGTAAAACGAACTTTTAAAAACTGCGGGTCATCAGGGTTTTTGTTATGATGTTTATCGGCAACCTGAAAAATCTTTTCTATTTTTAAACCTCTGCCCAGATATAGTCATATTCATGCAAAGGATCATTCATAAAGATACAGTAAATATATTGAAGAAATATCTAGTCATGTTAAAGAACTATAGGAATTAGAGAGAGGGAATACTTACATTCTGTTAGTGGATATAAAATGTAACAAGTTCTATGGAAATCCACATGGCATTATCTTGCAGAATTTGAGGTTGGGCATAACCTATCACAACAATTCACTTCTGAACATTTATTCTGAAGAAATAATATGTACATAAAGAGGGTATATACAGGACTCAAGAACTTTTCCTCTGCTGCTTTATTTCCAATGACAAGAAAGAAAGAAAGAAAAAGAGAGAGATAAGGAGGTGGGGGGAGGAGGGGGAGGGGGGGAGGGGAGGAGGGGAGGAGGGAGGGAGGGAGGGAGGGAGGGAGGGAGGGAGGGAGGGAGGGAGGGAGGGAAGGAGGAAGGAAGGAAGGAAGGAAGGAAGGAAGGAAGGAAGGAAGGAAGGAAGGAAGGAAGGAAGGAAGGAAGGAAGATAGCCTAAATAGAAAGCAAATAAATTGTGGTATTTTCATACAACAAAAGACTATACATATATGACAATAAACAAATTACAAAGACAAGCAGAATTGACTCATAAATATAATGTAGAACAGGAAAAATACTTCTTGCAGAAGAAAACATGGAGTATTTATTATTTACATACAATTTAAAAACAAGCAAAACAATGTAGGGGATACATAAATATGAGAAAATCAACAAAGAAAAACACATAATAAACTCAACATTAAGGATTGTGGTGAGGGGGCTAAGGAGAGGCAATGGAATCTGTGAGGGCACACTGTGGGCTACACAAAAACCAGTAATGTTCTATTCTCAAACTAGTGGTAGGTTCTCAGTTATTCATGTTAATAGTACTCTTTGTACCTTATCTACATAGCATAAATATTTTTGTGTAGGGTAGCAAAAAGAAATTATCATATTTTAGATTTATCCTGATTCTAAAGATACAACTGCAAAATTATAAACACAGAAAATGGTAGAGAGAATAGAATAAAGGGTGTTAGTTATAACCACAAACTTATTTCTCAAGTTAATACAATTTTTTGTTTAAAGGTATATATGTAGCTTGCAGACCATAGGTTCATACGGAGAGTCTAATTCACCATTTCTAATAACGAATTCAGTATTATGATATTATACCTGTTACCACTGTAAAACTCAGTTTTCTAATATGTTTTACTAGCCCAAGGTATAAAAGGTCATTACTTTCCATGCACAATAAATATTCTTGTATCGATAGCATTTTCTGTAGATAAAGCATTCTTGTATATACAGCATTCTTACTTTAAAAAGCTCTTAGAAAGAACACTATATTTGACTATTTTAAAGGTATTTTTAAGTGTCTGCAAGTAGAAAGTACCTTGTATGTACTCAGGACTCCATACTCTCTTTTCATTCACATCACTTTTTGAGGTAAATATTTCCAGCCTTAGTTTATACACGTGGAAATTGAGATTCAGCATTGTGAAGTACATTGTCTGATGTTTAAAAGCTAGCATAGTTGGGATTCAAACCATATCCAACTCTGATATCCAAATGTGAAAACCATGCATCTACTAGCTAGGACTGTCTAATATACAACAGCAAAAATAAATTTCTAATGCAAAAAAATTAAATAAAATAAAACAGACTTGTTATATTTCAGCTTACTATTTCAGTTTATGGTATCATTTCGAATGCATCCCTGCAGCATGTTCTAATGCTCTGTATCAACTTTATGTCACAGTACTTCTTTATTACTTCATATAATCACAATTTACACGTAAACCCCATAAATTCTAAAACTGGCAGTGGATATCAATTATGTTTATGGAAAGTCTCAACTTGGCTGTACTTCTTTTCATAACTGGAATTTCTCTAAGACTGGAAGTAAAGTTAGCTGTTGGTAGGCTGAAACCTAGCACTTTCATTTCACTATCCTTCCGTCAGGGATTCACTCACAGAGACGCAAACAGGCCTGCCAAGCCCCACAGAAATTACTCATTTCCATTCTCTCTTTCCCCATCTCTCATCCAAATGTACTTTAAAACCTAATTTTAAACTCATGCAGGAAATCTGATTAATACCACCTGGCTTTCTCTCCTCCATTAACCCTAGGCCCCATCAGCACACATAAAATACAATTCATTTATATGACTGTCAGCTTTTTAATTTGTCATCGTTGTTTTCATTTGCATGTTTGTCTAGCCTGCAAGAACCACTGCCAAGAGTTTACAAATTTATTTCTTCTGTCCTGTATCCTAACAAATTTTTCTTCCCCAAAAGGAACACCAACTATGCTGCGTGAACAGTAGTCACTTAACAAATGCTGAATGACTTACTACAGTGGAACAATTCGCCTCTGGTATTTCTCAATATCCCAGTGAATCCTCCACATCTATAACATGCTGGAGATGATACCAGGTACCGCTAGAGGCTTGGGGTCTTCCTGAGGGTGCCTGGGACAAGAAGAACACAGAGAGACCAGAGACAGTCAGGAGAAACACAGAGAGAGGAAACATGGAAATAAACAGAGGACAGAAATAAAGAGTTGAGAGGAGCAAAAGAGTCAGAAGTCAACGGAGAGATTAAGCAGCCAGAGAAATCACAGACAGGAAGCTGGCAATCTGAATTTGGGTTTTGGTTTTGAAACCACATTTTTGGTACTATTTGCTCATGTAATAGGTGCCCTCAAGTTACTAAATCTGTGACACAGTCAACCACTTTGAAGTTATTTTTATGAACTTGTAACATTACCTATTAAAACTCATCATCACAAGGTTTTGAGATGTATATGTACGTGTTTGGAGATACATATATACACACAATCCTCCAAACAACCCGGTTGTAAATAAGGAAATATTTTTTCTAGTTTAGAAAATGAAGGTTAGAGAGGTAATGTGAGTTGCCCAAGACACAAGCAAATAAATGATAATCGAGGCCCCCAAATTTTCTGATTCTAAAATCTACTGCTTTTTCTGATATCCTTATGTTGTCTCTAGTAGAATATTATACAAATCCAAACTGATTTTGTAAAATAAAATTCAAATAAACATAATTAAGGATAAAAGTTTTCTATCTTATGGGACACTGAATTACTCAGGTTACTCACTAGGATATTTTTAAGATAAACCAGACAAAAATAAATCTGAATAAAAATATCAGAATGATAGAAAATTTAGTACAGAAATGAAATTAAGTGAACAGTCACTTAACAAAATTTTTAAAAGGGGCCTAGAGTTAGTTCATTTGCTTCTACAACTTGGTAATTTCAGTCTTAATGATTCAACACATTTCAGTTGACTGGAAAGATAAACCAGTGTTCTACCCTTCAGTGAATTCTTACAGCTAAGTACTAGTAAAAGAACTGGTGCTCAAAACTACCTGTTCTCCCTCATAACGTCTCACCTAAAGTCTACACTGCTCTCCAAATTCAGGGTACTTCACAGAGTAGAAGTTGTACAATGTATTGCTCTTTGTATGCATTTGTATTTTCTCTACTCTTCTAAATAATCATGCCCTTTTAGTAACATTCAATGTAATTGCCAGAAAATCTCCTTTGATAAATGTATAAGCATGTTATTGGATATCACAGCAAAATAAGTAAGAACACAAAGAAATTTCTATTCAACTGTGTATCAATATATTTTCCATCGTGTTCAGCAATTTTTAAACCAGAAATTTTCAAATAAAGACTAAAGTACAGTACGGCTCTGCCCTCTAGTGACTCGCTAAGTTTTGTGAGCTACATGCTTTTTTTTTTTTTTTTTTTTTTTTTTTTTAGTGCTTTTTGCGCAATACTTAGGATTTTAAAAAAATTACATGATGGGTTCTTTTTAATCATTTAAGAAGTGAACAAAAAGTACCGGTCAACTTTTAAGGTATGAGTGGTATGAACACAATGCAGGAAAGAGACTAAAGTTGAACAAGTTCTTTCCATCGGGCCACCCAAGTATTGCAAACCAGAAAAAAAAATTAATATTATCTGTTCCAATTCTTTATGTAATTTATTTGGAAAAGTCAAATAATTCCACTACAAATTTCTTTGTTAAAAACCTTATAAATTTCTTAACTTATCCAATTAGTCAATTGTATTATTTCAGAGTCTGAGTTATCAAGATGAGTGATGCTATATATATCATGCACAGATGAACACTTTTCTACTAATTATAAAAGAGCAAAAATGCTTAATACAAAGCTATACTGAACATAATTTACTGCTAATTGCTCAAGTGATACTTGAAGATTTTGCTGAACCTCAGTTTCGTCATTAGAGAACTCACTATCACTTCACTGATATGTGTGGAAACATTAATCAAGGATGCCAGCTAAGACAGAGCTATTACATAGAAATTCACCCTACTACTACAGTGGAGGGAATCTGTCATATTAGACATCCCTCTTCACTTCTCCTGCTATAAACCTCTTGCTAGGAACTGATGTGTTTCTAGAACAGCATTTCTACTCTCATCAAACCCAGTGTACCACTTCTGTGTCTACACACTTATGTTAAAAATAAACATGGCATTCATGCACCTGAATGTAAAAGGATACCCAAACATGTGAGGATAATCTATAGGCAGTGTGGTGTGGTGGGAAGCACAAACCCTGCAGCCACACAACCTGAATTTGAATTCTAGCTTTGCCACTTATTAGCAGCATAACCTTGGGCAGGTAAGTTCACCTCTCTGTTTTTCAGTTTCCTCACCTAAAAAATGAGAAGAAAAAGGGGCATCTACCAGTAGTAAGTAAAGGTTATACCAAGGTATTTGGATTACACAGATGTATGCATTTGTCAAAACTCAGAAAATGTACTTTTAAGATGTGTGCATGCCAATGAATGTAGACTTAACATAAAAAATACATAAATATTGAACTGTAGTTAATATAAATATTATTTAATATAAATGCTGAAGCATTTAGGGAGGTGTAGTGATGTCTAAATTTTCAGATGCATCAAAAAGTAAGTTGAATTCATAAAGGATAGAGAGATGGACAGATGATAGGTATGTAATAAAATAATTAGAATAAAATGTTAATGGCCAAATCTAGGTGGCAGTATATGAGCTTCACAATAAAATGTTTGGGGAAAATATACCTACTTCTCATCAGACTGATGTGAAGATTAAATATATAAACAGTATTAAATATAAAGAAGAGTGTCTGACTTAACAGTGGCATCTGAAAATACGTTTATTTAAGCAAATGAAAAGTAACGATCTATTCTTTCCAAGTTGGTAGGAAAGGGGAGGAAAGTTATAAGGGACTTAGTTCCCAAACTGGGGTCAGTAGTTGCCAACAAAGGTGTTACAGGTCAAATTTCAGATACATCATAAAACTACACAGACTATGCAAAGAACACAGCCTTTGAAAGTGAGAATGAGCTAGATTTGAATCCTCCATCTGTTTTTAACAAGTCAAGAGGCTCAGACCATCTATTTAAATGTTCTGAGACTCAGTTTTCTCACATACATTTAACGGTCACTGTGAAGAAAGGAAGAAAAAAATATACATATACACACACACAAACACACACATAGAAATTGGCACACAAAAGACACATAACAGCAGTAGTTTGTAATCATTATAATCATTACTACCTAGGGTGAGTCTTGTATATCTTTACCACCATCCTCTGAAGATGAAAACCAAAGTGGCTGTGTATCTGGTTCTTAGACTGGAAACTGCATATCAGTTGGCCCTACTACACCGAAGGCTTTCGAAAGGATCTTTATTAAAAGAGTACGCCTTATTCTAAGTTTCACTAAGTGTGAAAGAAGAGCTGGCAATGACAGGAAATTCAGTATTCATTCCTCTGTAATGCCAATTATAATAAATATAAGACAAGTAAGGCATTTGAAAGTATGTTTGCTGATGGCGTTTTAAAGAAAATCACTTCAGTGCATTTGAGGAAATGGTATTATTACCTGGATAAGCCTTGATTTAAAATAGTCTAAGGTAACATATTTAAAGAATATTACAACTACACTTACAGAAGATGAGTTCTATGCTCCGAGGGAGAGGATTTGTAAATCATTATGCATTACTCAATGAAGACTGTGACTCAACACAGTTTCAGCTGTAAAGAAAACCAAGAACTTGGCACTCAAAGCAGCAATATTGGAAAGAGTTTACAACGTGGCTACTTCATTGACTGCTCCATAAAAACCGCTTTCTCCAACGGTTATTCGCTCCTTGGTTACTAACTCAAGAAACTTTTTTAGACATTTAGATGTCTCTAAATTTGCAATACTGCCAGTCTTGAAACTCATCCCCATTTTGCACAGCATGATTCTTGCTTTTCCCAGCACAGATCTAATTGGTTTTCTTTCCTCTGGACTTCCCCTAACAAAGGATAGGTAAGTATTTTCAACAGTCCCACCTTAGGCATATTACCTTTCACCAACTTTCAAAGTTTCAGCTCTTATCTCTCTCTCAAATTAAACCTATCTTCAGCCTGAATCTCTACCAAACTCATCTCAAATTTATAAATACATCCTAAATATAATGCCATGGATATCCTCTGTGTTTCAAATCCAATCCATCCCAAATTCACCTCCCCCTCCCACAAATCAGTAACACTAGTATCTCCTTGCTTCTGACCGCAACACTAACACTCTTGTGAACTGAAATTTAAAACCTGTCTTTGACTTTCTTTTAAGTACCCTTCACTGCCTCCTTCTGCCTTTGTCTCTCTACATCCCCAAAACAAGTTCAGTTTATTATCAAGTTCTGTAGATTAATAGCTTCTAAACTGGTTCAGATGACACATACCTAGAATTCATATTCGAGAAACACAGTGAAAGCTAAGTTTACAATAACTAAACACACAAAACAGAGGCTAAATAGTAGCAGGAATCAAGTGTTTCAGAAAATCTTCATTGAAAGAATCCTTAAAACTGAGTATCCATTAACTTTTGCCCTATGAATGGGAAAGACTAATTCATTTAATCTCATTTATATCATTCACTCAAAAGTTTTCAGTGGCTATAGGCTTTTTGAGGGGGAAAAAAAGTAAACTCAACTTAATATTCAAGACCCCCTTTACATCTGTGCCTTCACACCAAAGTTTCCCATTGTAACTTTACATGTATCCCATCCAGCTGGCCAAAGGAGTCTATTCACCTTTCCACCTTTCTGTTATTTCCTCCTCTCTGTGAAGTCTTCCTTGATATCCTTGAGTGGGATAGAAGATCTTTCTCAGAACTCAATGTTTATTTGTATATCTCCCTCTTTTGTGCCCAGAGTTTGCCTTATATTATCACGTCATGACCTTGACAGTGTGTAATACGTTGCCTTGCACATGGTAATTAGTAAATATTTGTTAGTGATACAGAGGAACAGAAAATACATTATTTATCTGTAAAGAGAACATTTTTCCAGTGAGATTACTGCGGATAGTTCAGATTCTAAAAAGAAACAGAACAGAGCGGGAGAAAGATTAAAGAGGGATAGTGAT